TCAAAATCGTTATAGTGATGACGCAACCGGCGAGTGCTACGTCTTTATTGAAGTATGTAACAATGATATAGATAAGCCTTTCCACCTTAACTCAGACTTGTTTTTTTTTCGCAAATATCAAAGATCTTATATTGAATGGTTTGATTAACCATCAACAATGGCAAAGCCAATCTTGGTTTTGCCACTGCGGTTGATGCCAACAACGTTATAATAGACAATTATTTTGGTCCAAAGTCCAGCAAAGGCCTACATCCCTAGAATTTTCACAGAAAAATTCGGGAACGTAAAAAACATTTCACCCTCAATTAAGGAAGAAGACTTTCTTAACTCAGCTACCTCTGACATTGAAATCATTTCCGTAACAAGAATCCAGAGAAGGAACTCTGCAAACAGAGAACTTTTCATCACAACAAACAGGCTAAAGATTGGTTTTAAGGCAAAACTAATTCTCAAAAGTATAAAATTGAACTTTTGCAATATTCCAGTAGATTCCGTTAAGCTATGTTATAATTGCGGCCGATTTGGCCACATCGCCAAATTTTGTAAAAGTAGGGAAAACAGATGCCTGAATTGTGGCAAAACACCGGAGACACTTTTAGAGAATACAGAGAAAAATTCTCTAACAACGCTTACAACTTACTTGATGGCTACGATGTAAACTTCAACAACCTCAAAGACCCCACTATTGAAACAAATAATATTTTAGTTAAAAAAAATTTTAATGCGGTTGTAAAAAATAAAAGGGGTATTCCCAAACCCTTGCAAAGACTGTCTCTCAAGACGCCAAAAAAAACCTCCACTACCTCCTGAAAAGCATATTCACATCAATTACCACAACTCCACTGAAATGGAGATAATTCTGGAAAGGATTTTCAAAATTCTCTCCATCCCTGCTTATGAAGAAATGTTTAAAACCGTCCAAGCGGAAATAGTTTCCCTTATATCAAAATTTGACCTTTTAAAACAAGGTACATCTGAGTCGGCCCTATCATCCTCTAGCATTTCTCATGACCCCCTTCTTACAGTATAGCATACAGAGTTTCAGGCGCAATGCTTTTTCGCTGGATTACTTCATCAATTCCAGCCGAACTGATTTCGTCCTTTTGAGTGAAATCTTTCTATCCGACGACAATATTTCCAATCTAAAAATCCCCAATTACACCCCCGCTTACAAATGCAGATGCAAATTCCCTTAAAATTAGCTGCTGACATTGTAATTGTCAAAACTTCTTCCCTAAAACATACCATAGTCATTGCCGCTTGCTATTTCAAACCTAATACTCCCACCCAATCTTTCCGGGATCATATCAGTCGCCTCCGTCATAAGCTTGATAGCCGTTATAAAGCCATTATCGCAGGAGATTTTAACGCAAGACACTCTTGCTTTGGTGACTTTTTGTCAAACAATAAAGGTAAAGCTCCGTATGAAATTATAGAATTCAATGATTTTCACTCTACGACTCCCAATAGTTGTGGCAGTATTTTAGATCTTACCTTCACTAACTCAACTAACTTTACGTTTAAACGGGAAGTCAAAAAAGAATCTTGCAAACAGCCACTATCTTCCTATTCTCTTTAGAGCAAATTCTGTTTCTTCATTTAAGATAAATGATTTTATCTCGCGGAAAAACTCTTAAAGAATCTTATGCACATAAGTCTTGAGCCTCATGTTGAGGCTCATTCAGAGCTCATTTCAACGCGAAATTAATAACGTCAAATCAAACATACAAATCTCCGATTCTTACTTTCCAAAACCTTGGTGGAATGATTCGCTCTTCCGCAAATTATAAGCAGCGAAACAAAAATTTTCTAAATACCCCAACATCTCCAACTTTGATGATTTCAAGTTATTACAGAAAAAATGGAAAAAAACAGTCAGAAAAGCCAAGAGAAGTCACCGTGCCCAAGTAGTCGAACAGCTTTGCACAAATGGCAACACAAAACCTTTCTGAAAATTTCTGAATGGACATCGCACTACCAAAAAGAAATACAAACACTCCTTTTCGGGTCATCATAATAACAAACCATACCTAGAATGGTTGAAAGCCCAGGTTCCCACAACAAATGCTCTCCAAGTTCCCTCATTTAACTCTCAGGTAGATAATATATCTTCACTTACACTGGATGAAAAAGGAATCTTTAGCAGCGGGTCATGACGTGTTAAATGCGAAATGATACAGGTCCTTCCCATTCCAAGCGGTCTAGTTTTGCTATCTGCAATATATGATCGCTGGATGATCAACTCTTTCCCTTCAGTTTGGCGTACAATTAAAATTGTACACATTCCAAAAGCTGAAAAAGATCTTGAAAGTTTCACAAATTTCAGACCTACATCCCTCCTGCCCGTTTTCTTAACAATTACAAAACAAATGAACAAAGAAAGACTCACTAATTTTTTGCACAATTCACACCTGCTCCCCTCTACATCCTTTGCCTATCAGAAACACATTTCCACCGGTATGTGTTTTAACGAAGTTCTTTTCACTATTGCAAGTGAGAAAGCAAATGGAAACCAGGTAGTCAAGCTTTGTTTAGATATCAATAAAGCTTATGACTGTGGCGATCTAGGGAAACTAGATCAAATTCTAACTGATTTTAAAGTCCAATCACAATGTAGACAGTGGTTTCTTAACTTTCTTTCGTCGCGAACTCTCGTGTTGGGATCGAATTCAGCTAAAGTTGCTGGAGGACTACCTCAAGGCAGGTGTCTCAGTCCATTAGTTTTCAATTTGTATACAGCCGGTTTACATCGATTGCAGGACAACACAACCCATTTATTTCAACTGACTGCCTTTATCAAACCAGCTGATTTTTCTTTCTAATTTTGCATTCGTAATTTCTTTTACAGTCACAGATCGCCTATATTTTTTTTTTTTTTGTCGGCATTTCTAGCCGGACTTTTGACTGTACAGTATCTAGTACGGTGATTTATGGGTTAACAGCTGAACAGAGCTTCTCATAGTTAACATTCCGTTACGTCAGTCTATACCAAAGCTCAAAATTATGATCAATGGCTCTCAACTACGTTACTGGATCATGGATGTAATTTCAACGTAACTGGTCCAATCCATTTCCAAACCAAAAAAAAGTATATATATATAATCCGTGATAAATAAAATAAAATACTCGGACACATTTTAAGAAATGACTGGTCTGTTCTTACGATCGGATAAGCGCGCAACTTATTTTACCTAGGAAATAATGTCCGGGTCGGTAATAGATCCCAACCGCCTTGATCAATCAATAATCGAATTCTATCACAAGCCCATCTTAGCATTACCTTTGACCTATTTATTCACAATGGGGATCTGCTACATATTTAAATGCCATTACTACTAACCGTTCATTTTTATCGACATGTAGCCTTCCAATAAATATGCGAGTTTTCTGCTCAAATCAGTTGCGCTTTTGAAATCATCGAATAGCTAACCATAATGAGACGTTTATCCGTTGGATCAAACTTATCTCTCCGTTTCGTCTTCTTGTTCGCGCAATCACGGAAGACCACGACATTCTAAGGTGACCAATCTTAGCTTTCATCGTCACCAACTGCATATAAACGTTGTCTATTCTTTCTATTCTACGTGAATAGACTATTATTTTTAACAACTTTAAGCAATGTAGTATCCTTAGCGTTCCTCATTAATGCCTTTTCTCACAGATATTAAACTGACTTCTGGTGAAAACAATATGCTTTTAAGTACAATGTAATATTAGACTTTTAACAAAACATCGCTTCTACCGTTGCTGTGATAAACTTCTCACCGACTTGTGAAATTTTTTCGTTGAAATTTTCAAAACTTACAAATATTGATCAGCTTTGACATACATAACAGGTTGCTTCATTGTCGAAACACCGTGAAGATTCACACATAATTCGTGTCGCTACTACTAACGTGAGTGACTTAGATTTCTTCTTTAGAAAACTTTCGTGGACAATTGATGGCATACCCGTCCCTTCTGACCACAGAAATATCATTTACCAGTAAATTTTTGTTGATTGGTTTTGGCATTTTTTTCTTCTCTTATCAAACCTTTTAACTTATTGGTTTAGCGTATACGTGCTGTGCTTCTTTTGTTTGGAGTTTAATGGCATCATTTCACTGATATATCGTCGCTCTTTTCTCCAAGCGCTTTAACTTTAATGCGGAAATCGTAGGAAGACAATCGCGAATCTCCATGGTCACAACAAAATCCTGTATTCGACGGGACAACAATATTATAATTAACATTCATTTCATTACCAATATCTGTTAATTTCTCAACACAACCACAGAACTACGCCATCGCCTTCATGCATTGAATCACTTGGTTTGCATACCCCTGATAATTCTACCCACGCTTCAGCAGCCCTGGTAGATTTCTTTATGTAACCCAATTGTGTTAGTCTAAAGCCCAACATGATGCTCGTCAGTGCCTTAATTGTCCACTTTGTCTTTTGTTTTTCAAATTTCTTTTGACTACTAACGCACATCCGTAGACCAATATAAATTAATACGCTGTTCATATTCAGATGCTATGTTTCGTAATTTTTATCATTAAGCTTTTGATTTTGAGAAAAAATTTTCCATTATGTCCATTCACAAAATAAAACACAAAAAAACCAAAGACGCGCTGTACACAATGTCACAACTTATAAGCGATTACAAACGGATTCGCGATAAGCCCCCAACCGCAATTGAACAAAATTTTATTAGGTAGCGAAAAAACTTGGCTTACATTTTATGAATTTGAATGAAAAGGAAGAAGGTACTAGATAATATCAATTACAATAAATTGAACCTTAAAGACTCAATTTAGATATGAACTGTAAAAAAACACGCGAGAAATTTGTATCCACATTTGTTTAAATCTTAGATTTAATAAATATATAACAATCATAATCTTTTGTTTCTTAATAACTAATTATAATAAATACCGATCTGCGGATTGGGATTTCAATTCAATTTCTAAGAGAGGTTTTCGTGACCCTGGTAACAATTTGTACCAAATTTCTCATCGATATCTGCTGCGCACACATTTTTGGTTTTTGGGGCTTGTTTTATTGTTACACAATTGGAAAGCTGTATTTATATTTTTGAGACTATAAGGGTTTCAATAAGCGATATCTGCTTCCTTCGGTGCTCAATATAAAAGTATATTCACAAAGCCAATTTATTTTTATATTTTTTTCTTATCCAAATTCTCGTTTTAAAGCACTTTTTCGCAGTAATCTTCTTCCTTTCCTATGCCATCACCATTCAAAGCTTAGATATCTAATTATTATCACGTTCATTTTCATTGAAATAATGATTGCTTTCATGTTGGTTTGGATCCTTGAGTGGCATTTTTTGGAAGTCACAATCTATTATTCGCTTTCGCTTCCGCAAAGGCCTCGAGCATTCGTATTCTTTGGTTTGCATAAGGGTTCGTTTCGTACGTGAGCGTGTTATCTTCAGTTTAGGTAATTTACGACATGTGAACTTGTCACTACATACTTCGTTTTCGTCACTTGGGTTGCCCGAACTATCATCCGTCATTACAGTCTCGTTTGATTCCATTGTCTCGGTGTTTCCCGCACAATGCAACGTTTTCTCTGAACTTGCATTTAAGATTTTTTGGGGATTTTCTATTTTACTGACATCAGTTCCGCCAGCACCAACCAAAGAACGATACTCTTCTTTTCTTTGCTTCCACTTTTTCTCAGGTTCGCGGGTCTGTGTAAAATCTAGAGCTTGCTCTGCAGATTCCAGTTTGCTGTCCACTCTTTCTTCAGTTTTCGATTTTTGTGCTTTTTCAGCTTCGAGCTTTTCGCATTCACCAGATATCATATGAGCATTATAAAAATCTACTACTGGTAGCGGTATTGGTATTGGTATAGGCAGGGGTATAATTACCGGATAGGGTATCATGATAGTCATGGGATGCGGTGTACTAATTAGGGCGTTCAGAGCCGAGATATTTGGATGCGTTAATGTGTGAGGAACGCTCGAGTTATCATTTAATAATTGAGCTCCAGATGTTGGAGATGCAATAGATTCTAATTTTTTTCCTAAAATTTTTTCTTGACCAGATGAAGGTAGTACCTTCTGTGACACGGTGGACTTCGGCATATGACTTTCCATCACGGGAGACAAACATGGCATACTCATAGCGTCACCCTGAGTACCACCGCTTGCCATTTGAACTAATGATGGTGGCCCATGTTGGCTCTCATTGCTGTAATATATATTATTACTGGAGTAGCTGCTGATGGAAGGTTGCGCTAGCTGTTCTTTCGCTTTGTCCAGGCAGCTTTTTGTGCTGGGAGTTGCCGGACAATTTGTCTTCACTTCGTCTTCAACTTGTGCTGCCAGCATAGAAGATCTTAATGGACGTTTCTTACGACTATGTTTTGTTGGCGTTCGGATTGACGATATATTACAACTTTTTGATATTAACTTTGATGTTGGAGCTACGGAAATTAAAGGTTTGCGAGTCGCTTCTGTTATTGGCGATAAACTCAAACTGTTTTTACTCTGCAACGGTAAACGCACCGGACTCAAAGAGGATCTTCCTGACCTACTCGTTACCATAACAGGCGATAGTGAAACCGTTGAAGATGGAGAAGCTGAACGACTTCGGCAATTTTTCAACCAAAGATCTGGTGTAATAAGTCCAATCCCACTATTAGCCGCCTCCAATCCCTGTTCCCTCAACTGAGGGTTCATGTCTAGATGAGCTTGAGTTTCTTTGCAGAATATTTGCATTTTGTATTGATTTAAACACTTATCTGAACAGAACTGCAGTTGCGAAGCACCATCTTGAAAATCCACATAGTTAACAGCATTTCTCACATGCTTGCACCAGTCACATGTCTTAGCCTTTTTAAATGACGCCCTACGACTCTGAGTGAAGCATGACTCGGAACAAAATCGCGGTCCATCTGATATCCTAAGATATTCAGGCGCGTTATCTGGTACTGGTCTGTGACACCAACAGCAATTCACAAAGTCTGAAACAGGGAAAACAATAGTCTTTGTTTAAGCACATCTACAAATTTTTTTTAACTATAATATTTAATTGAAGCATGTTAAAATATTTTAAAAAAGATCCAAAACATACGGCATGTGCTCTTCAAAGTTTTCAAAATTTGTCACTAATTTTATTTCTTGATTGCGCGGTAATGTACTCAGAAGGCTTATAATTTCACGCCTAATGAATAATTATAAATAGTAATCAAAATAGTAAATCGAATATCATTTTTGTATCGGTTACAAAAAGTAACTTAGATTTGTTATATTTTTGTAAATCTATTATATAAGCAATTTTATAATTTTTGTAAACCACTCCCTAAAAACAAATGGACCCACGTTCGGACTAAATAGGAACATCGATTTACTAATGCTTGTTTCGTTGTCTATCTGCTCTCTGGTTTGTACGCCTTTGAAACAATGGTAACAATATTAACAATGCAGTTCTCAAATATTTTAAGATAAGCGAAACAAAACAAAGGCGTTTAGTCAATTTTCTTAATATGAATAAGACACTCATTCGTAACGAACGCCACATTGTAAAAAAAAAAGAACCCAGAAAACAACAAACAACAAATTCGCGATGCATATTCATCAACTGTTAATAATGCAGTGATTTATTCCAAACAAGAAACCAAAGCAAAAAGAACCTGTGCAGTATTTTCTGTTTGTTACCTTCTTCAATCGATAAGAGCAGAGAAAACGGTGCATACTTGTACACTAGGCTGTGTAGCCAATTGTAAAAAATAAACAATAATAAGTTGCGAAATATAAGAGAAAAATCAATTGATAAATTATACGTTGACCTAACCAAAAAACTATGCTTGCTGTGTTGAAAGAATGAGGCGAATTTGTTTATAAAATCAAAGATCTTTAACTAATTTTTTAAGACCCAATGCCCTCTCCCTCTTCCTCTTCATATCGAATATGGAGCGATTTTCGCGTGGCATTTTCGTCTTTTGATCGGTTGCTCACAGATTCCTTGCTTAAAACCAAATCTTCTGTCCTATAATGTTTGAGGGCGCTATGATAGTCAGAAATCATTTTTTCAAAGATATAGAAAAAATCGAATCGCAACCTTAAAAGCATCAAACCAATTATTTGTTGGAAAGAAGAAAGTGGAAGCAACTTTAGAATGTATGTTTAGGACCATACTCAACCACTAACGTTTCAATGAACGTTTTTGAACTCGTGTTAGCGGACGGTGGTGTCTAGATTGGTTGTTCAAAAATTATTGAACAGAATAAATTGCAAAAAGGAATTCATGTGAGATGACCAGATCACAACAAGACAATTTGTAAATGCTCGCATTTACCTTGGCTGACATAAGCAAAACTTGAAAATTGTTAACCTCCAGGTTAGTGGAACGATTTTTTGGTGCAAAACAACTCTTGGCTTTGGTCCATTAGGCGAAAATGTAAATACAAATAAAGATTTAAGCACCTAAAAAAATCTAAATATAAATAAAGCTTTAGCATTATAATTGCAATAACAGCAAAAGAAAAATTGTGGATCCCTCTTCATTTCTAGATATACTTTTCCGGCACTCATCCCAGAATTTCTACAGAGATGAAGGAGTGGTTACTGTAGCAATGACAAAAGATTATGGATTGAAACAGCGCTTATCTCGTCAACCGAAATTCAATAAAATCCACGCAAGATGTGTTTCAACTTTAAAGAAAGCACGCATTGAATTTTTCTTTGACATAATGTATAATATATAACCAATATGCGTTGTACAGTCTCGTTGAACCAGATCAAGCTATTCACCAAAACCGATAAGATTAAAAGTACGAAAACGGTTAAAGTTAATAAGTGGTGTTATTGCCTTCCCAAATCTTTTAGGATAATTTAACCGTAATCGCATGATTTGAATCCTGCCCTTCCAAAAGCTTTTTTCCGTAAAACTTACCCAACGTATTTTTAATTAGTACGTTCATAAACCACTTGGAGTCTTTTGTAAAAATCTAAATAAAATGTTTCTAATTTAATATCTTTATCGAATTCCATAAATTTGTATTGACACTTTACTATATTAACTTAAAATATTATTTTTCCACCCAGTGTTTCGTGTCGGTTGTTCCTTGTAATTCGAACCAATAACCATGGCATAAGAAACTCCAGTCATAATCCAAGTATCGCTGTATTAGCGAACCAAATATCGTCCTATTGTCTAATATCACAGTAAAAGAGAGTAAGCAGAAAGGCTCTCTTCTACGCGGCGTTGTGATATACTTCGTGGACAGATTTACGCTAATCGTCAACAAACCATGCGCCTCCTTCGGATATTTTTGGATTGAAGGTTCCATCAAACATCATTCTTTCCGAAAAAAAAAGTGGACGGTTTACTTATACCAAATATGAACTATTTGCACTTTGCAAAGGATAGCGTCGGACGAAATTAAATTCAAATACGTTGCTCTGCCTGGGAAAACGTCCGAGAGATATTGTCGAAGAGAGCAAGATGTTAGTAAATTAGCAACCCGAGCTGATAATATCCCTTAAACGGGCTGTGAAAACAAATTGAGCTTTAGAAGACAAATCAGAGGAGCTCAGCAGTAATCGGATAGTTAGACATCTGTGTAAACCATCACGCGGTCTCTCAAATGTACGTTTACAAGGCAATAATCCTGATTTTCACCGTTGTCAACAAAAAGCTACGAAATGTATTTGACCATGTAAGTACCAAAAGAAAGTAATTCAGACATCGGCAAAACTTTTCGTAAAACTTTCTTCTTCTTTCTGACATCCTTTGTTCCAAAAAATGTCACATTTCAATTCATACATTTATAAAAATGATTTTACAATTTCGTAGGCGGTTTCCACAGTTTTCGTTAATCGCAGACTTCACAAAGCGCATTACAGTTTCGGCTATTCAACTATTTTAGTATATTATTTGCTTAAAAATTGTTGTGAACTCTTTCTTGAGCAATTTCAAAAAATTCAGAATGTGTCAATACAATTTAGTCGTAAGAAGAGTGGAATATATCGTGTAATAACACAGAAACGTCCGGTCCAAACGTTTGCGCTTGTTGGGAAAGGAGCTAGAAGCCATTTTGGGCAGATAAAACTTATGTGAGCTTATAAATACAAGAAACGGATGAGAAGATTTAGAAAAGATAAATACTGGTAAGCCTGTGTGTACGATTGGAGTGCTTTATTATTAAATTACTTAACAAAAATAAAAGATTGAACGTATTTCTTGCAAACTTCGATCTTCTTCTTCTTGCTTTGTGATTGAAGAAGTTAGGAAAACAGGTTCATTTGAATCCTAGAGTTCTAAAATCTAGGAAATGGTAATGCTATTCTAACTGTGTTAACAATGATTTTTATTGACATATTTTACGAAAATTTTGCGTAATTTTAAACTATATCCTGTTAGTGTCCATGTATTCCGAAATGACAGATTAGATAAGATTGGCGATCACGTTCTTACACCTGTATGCCACGCCTTACCAACATGTCCTTTTCACTCCTTAACTTATTTGGCCGCTGAATTTATTGAGACTAGTGTAATTGGCGTACGGAGAACCGTTTATCTTACATGTTCTTATACAGCTGACCATTCGGTAATAAGTGTTTTCAAGAAAGATACATCTCTTATCTGTCAATTGGTAGATAGCACCAAATATGTTTGGCGACTTTAAAATAAAATACCAATCGTAATGTGATCATGATTGAGTATTGCTGCTCTCCGCAATGGCTTGATACTGTTGAATTTATGATGACGTTGTTGTTGGCATTTACATATACAATTTGTTTTCTTCTTTCACGCAAATCGTCGCATATATTTTTAGTAACATGTCATAGTTTTCTTATGATGCAATACACACACTAAATATATCCATAAATCATGTGTAAAATTTGTGATTATTTTATTGTTCATCACTGATGTATTTACGGTTATGGTTTTTATGAATTTTTTTTTTCTTTTTCATTTTAGTTACTTGAATATTTAAAAATGTTTTTGCTGAAACTTTATTTTAAAACAAAAGGAACATTTTTTCTAATATCCTAAGAATTCTTCGTGTTTTTTGTTAGTGGCCATTGCGAGTTCATAGGTGTGCGTACATAATTTGCTAATATGATTAAATATATATACTTAAACACCTTCACATTTCAATATACTGCACTTTTGCATGATAGCAACATAATGTTTTTTGAAGTTTAATTTTATACAGTTGTTAGGTGGTTTACATCGGCTTTTTCGCAATTGTATTCAAAACGTTATTTACTTGCTCAGTAACAGAGTGAAAAAATCGTTTATTCTATTGTATACATAGTACAGCGTGCATCCGCAAAAATAAAGAAAACTAAAAAAAAGAAAAGAAAACCTAGTGACAGGCCTATCATTATACTTTTTTTTGCTTTTGCATTTCATCAAAAACAAAAAGGGCAAAAACTAAATTAAGTTCAATGCCCTTTGCTAATTATTATACATATTACCGGAGGATCAGGGGTACATCCATTTTGTCAAAACGTTTGCAAGAAGAAACCCAACAAGTCTGGCAACTCTGTCGCGCAGTATAGTCGTCTATATTTTGTTTCGGCAATTAATATTTTAATTTTTTGTTGAATTTCGTGGCTATTCTGCCTTATAGTGTGTAGATTTATAACATACTTTAAGAAGAAAGTGAGTGAATTCAAAGCAAAAGAAATATTTTTCCTTTACGCTTTGAATCATTTGATTTTTGCAAACAAAAATTTTGAGCTTTGATATAAATCTCTCTTTTTTTTTCTTGTTTTCTCTCTTTTTCTGTGTTATTTTTTTGCTGTTTGGAGTTTGTGTTGCTATTGATCCCTCGTTACAGTGTCAACCTAACAGAGAAGTTTTGCACAAATTGGTTGATAAATTTTTATGTTCAGGATTTTTTTTAGTGATTTGTGTATCTGTTCTTCATAATCCACAACTGTCTTTTTGACAGGACATGGAGTGTTTATATGCACCTTGTCGGGCGAAATCAGGCCCGGATTCTGATAG